CTAATAGCCTTGACTGTTCCTGATTATTCTATCCATGTACAAAACAAACAGGATATGGGACAGGACTAAGCCTTGGCGGAGACCAGTGCGAACGTTGAATGATTTCAAGTTAGCGCCATTTACTCTGACGCAGCATCTGCTATCAGAATACAGAGACTGGATCGCACTTAGCAGCTGGCAATCCATCCCATGTGCTCGAAGGCATGTCCACGTACTGTTGCATGGGATCCGCTCATAGGCTGTTTTAGGTCAACAAAACACATATACACCGGATGGGCTTATAACTCGAGTTCTCAACAATCTGGCGCAGGGTAAATATATGGTCAGAGGTGCTTCGACCGGGTCCTTTGCGGCCGGCTATAGAAGCGGACTGTGAAACACGTTACATGTAGTGTTCATAAGTCTAATACTGCATTCCTAAGTATGTGTCTGAATTTTACCCTCTTCCTGTTGACCAAAATGACATCTGTCGGAGTAAACGAGCTTCCCACGTAGAAAGTACGTGAAACTGCCGGAATTATTCGTATTTTCATTTCTCAAAACCGGTAGTTGTTCGGCCACTCTTGTCCAGTCTCCTGAATGACATTACTGCGCCGATAGGAATGAACAAACTTGTTGTCTTCTAATGATTTTGCTGACGTAGATGTTAACACAGTCATTGCACGAGATCGTGTGTATCACGTACCTTTTATTTTCCAGTTGGTGAAACTTCTAGGAACAATTGCATCCCAAAGCGCCGTTCCTCGTAATAAGATGGAAAACCTCCATGCTGGACCTATCGTATTATCTTGTTTGAAACTTTCAAAATGAACGGAATGATCATACGTAAACAGTATGATTACGTTTATTTTGGAACTCGTTGGCACTAAAATTGGGCCTCAACAAACTTTCTTTCAATAACTCAGTCACTGTTGCCAATTTTACTTCAGAAATTTTCTGAATGTTCTCATCTACTATATGCTGAATCTATGGTAAAAACACCGAGATCTACGTTTAATATTAT